GCTCTGGGGGGCGCAGGGTATATCAGAGTGTGCAGAATTGCTGGCTGAGAGGTGAGTCCCTGGTTTGTAGATGCAGCGGTCTAAGTGGCATTTTAAAGGACCAGTGGGATGGGCTGTGCCACGGGTACCAGCAGGAGCACACATCTGGTGTTCCCTGCAATCCAGGCACTTGTAACCACGCTCTGCCTGCAGAGATGCATGGAACCCTCACTGCTTTGGGGGGGGTGTTACCCACTCAACAGGGAAACTGAGGCACAGAGAGGTCAGTGGCTCACCCTGGGTTACACAGCTTGTCAGTGCAGAGCTGAGATTTGGGCTCGGCAGCCTGGCTCTGGGGCTTGGGGTCTGTCCTGTCCTCTCCTCCTCCCGGTCTTAGTGCAGGGGGACTTGGATCCAGGCTCACCCCCACCTTGGCTGTGCCCACCAGAGCGTCCCCCTCATTCAGGACTGCATGCCTCTGGTGGTGACATTCAGAGATGGAGCCAGGCGGGCTGGGAGAGGGCAGCGCCTGCCTGTTCTCTTGTTTCGCTGCTGGGCCTCCCTGCCTAGAGTGTCTGTGTTCTCCCCCCAGCCTCAGAGCTACAGAGGGGCAGGCGTGGTGCCCGGAGCAGAGGGGCCAGTGTGCCCCCGCCCAGCCTGGTCCCTGATCTCCCTTCGTTGAGACGCCAGTGACACGTGCAGGTTGGGAGTGGGTGCCCTGGACTCTGGCCAGCCGTGAGACCACCCCTACCTCTATTACCTTTACATTTTTTTTCCTTTTTAAATTTTTTATTTGGTTTTAACCGCACAAGAAAATAACAAATCAGTTATTCTGATGCACATAAAGTCAGAGCAGTACCGTGGGGCAAAAAATCTCAGCTCAGGAGTGGAAACCCGACACTTCCGGCCCCCGGATGTGCGATGCACTTCCTACCACAGTGCGTGTCAGCGTTTTTTGCCAACTTTTTGAAAAGTGCTTTTTTCTTTGTGATCCTCCATTCACAAAACTAAAAACCACACCTTTCAACACTGTCACTGGAAGCCTCTGGGCTTAGCCACCTAGAGGTGAAAACAAATAAATACATAATCTGTTCCACTGGCCCATTTATAATCCGTTCCCAATCCCTGTGGAAGGTACAGGCCCCACGGGGTGTCAGGACATCTGCCTTTCCCACCTGGAGCTCTTCCTTGACATGGAGGCTTGTCGGCTCCTGCGCTTCGGTTTTCTCACTTGCAAAGTGGTTGAGTGATTTCACAGCTCCTCTCTTCTGAAATTCAGTGGCACAAGGCACCCCCACCCCACCCCCTTCCTTGCCAGGCTCCCCAAGTGTCTGTAACATCTTTGGTCTGAAGACCGGGAGCAGCTCTGTCTCCAGGATGTTGTATCTTCAGTGGTAACCAGTGGGTTAACATCTGTGCCTCCAGCAGGGCACCCTGTGATTTGCCTGGGCTCTTGCCAAATCCCCAAAGTCAGTATGGCAGGGAAGTTTTTTCATTTATAAATTTTGACAAACTTTAGACTTGATTTTGCCTTAACGTTTTAATTTATATTTATTTATATTGTCCTGTATAAGTGCTAGGCAAGGCTTTTTAAAAACAGATTGTGGTGGGGGAGGGGTAATTAGGAGTTTGGGATTAACATACACCCACTACTGTATATAAAGCAGGGAAGCAACAAGGTTCTACTGCACAGCACAGGGAACTGTATTCAATATCTTGTAATAACCTGCAATGAAAAAGAATATATATATATATGCATATGTATATTTATATTTATAACTGAATCACTTTGCTGTACACCTGAAACTAACACAATATCGTAAAATCAACTACACTTCAAGTTAAAAAAAACCAGAATTGTGGTTTTAACGGGAAGGGTTAAATTTTAGATTGTCACATTACTAGTTAGATCACCCCCTTGGCAAACAAACTCATAAACTATGACGGGCAAAATAAAATAGTCTCTTGGGTTTAGTGAGTGACTTCCAAATGCAAAACTCAAAAATCAGTTTCAGAGTTTTGGTTCTGTTAGCTATCTTTTTCTCACTAAGGGGTCCTTTAACTGACTGGCCAATTGATAGCTTCATGAATTTGGGCACGAACCCCCATTTCCACATGGTTCCCACCCCCGAGTCTGGTGAGGGTCCAGGACGCCCAGCCTGGCCGACGCTGGGTTTGGAGGAAGCATCGCTGCCCGGAGCCGCTGTCCCCAGCACCAGTCCCGCGGCTTGTCCCCAAGCCAGGGGCCGGGCACTGGGCTCTAAGCTGAGAGGGTCCTTGGAACTGGGCAGTGGCACTTAGAGATTTAACAGAATAAACCATCTGGCTTTCTTGTTCTTACAGACTTGGCCTGAGGCAAATGGCTCCTATTTGAAGGCACCCCCAGGTCACGTCCCAGGCTTGGGAGCCTCAGTAGGACGGTCATTTGAGATTTTAGGAAGGGGCATGGAGCAGGGTGAGGTCTGCAGTGGGGCGGCGGGCCTCGGGGTGGAGGGTCCTCCCGCACGCTTGGCGGAACCGCGCCGCCTCTGAGACAGGGGGCCCGCCAGGTCCGAGCCCAGGCCGTGTTCCGGGAGGAGGCCGGTGCCCCGCTCACGCCCTCGCTTTTCCAGGGCTCCTCCGTGTGTCAAGTGACTGCCGTCGGTGTCACCGTCATCCTGCTTTACGCCTCCCGCGCCTGCTACAACCTGTTCACCCTGTCGTTCTCCCAGAGCAGGAACGTGCGCTCCTTCGACTATGACTGGTACAACGTGTCCGACCAGGTCAGTGGCTGCCCCCCGCCCTGTGAGGCGCCTGCATCCTTGCCTGTAAAACGGGGTCGCAGCGCTGCCTGGTCCCAGCCCACGCGTCTCTTAGAAAACTGGGACACACACCCCTCACGCACGCACGCGTGCACATGCACACACACACACACCCCC